TCAGGGGCCCCCCTCCTGCGCCAACGGGCCCTTCCGGGGGCAGCCGTGCCCCCCCCCGGGCCAGGCGTGAGGGTGAAAGCCGGGTGCGCGATGCCACGAACCGATACGTGGCATCGCGTGGCCCTCGCCTGTCCTCGCCAAGGGTGTGGGGCTGGTGTCCAGTGGGTTTGGGCAAAGACATGAAGGGTATTGTGAGGCCGTGTCTGTCCCCCCTGTCGACACAGGAAAGCTGGCAGCTTCACTGTTGTGGAGAGGTGGGACAGACAGTGGGAAGCGTGCAGGGGCACAGTACGCGTCACTTGTGCAGACCCGTGGGATGGACACAGGCGAGTTTGCAGTCTGGTGGTGAATGGGTTTGGGATTTAACAGATGTGCAAATGTGGACTGCGAGTCAATCCGGGTCTCGCAGCAGCAGATACAGTATGGGGGGGGATGGACGCAGGCAAGCGGGCAGGGGTCACGGCAACCCTCGCTTCGTCCATCCCACCTGCCTGCAAAAGAGTGAAGCTTCCTGCGGCTCCTGCGCGTGTCCTGCCCCTCTGCACCAGGCAGGTTTCTGGTGTCTCACCACACTGCACGTTTGCAGACAAGGAAGCAACTGGGGAAACATGCACACACATTGCAAAGGGAGGGTGGGATTTACTGAAGTTGGTTCAATACAAGTGAGAGTCTCTAATTACTTCCCTATAACAGGTACAGGTTTACTTATGTTTGTATCCCACCCTCTCCCAAAAGGCTCAGGGCAGTTCACAAGAACTTAATCCCCTGACAGATGTTAAAGGCACAAGGCCATCTGATACGGGAGCCCAATCACACTTCCTGCTTCGGGAGATGCAATTTTGGGAGATGCAATTACAGCAGAGCTGAAATGGGAAAGGGAACAGGGCATGACCGGGGTTTTCCCCCCTATTCCTCTCCCACTTGCAGCCTCCAGCAGTTAGGGTCGAGGAAGCTCTGGTTCAGAGGACATACCCCTAACTCCCATGCGCAATAGCTACCAATGGTAAAAAGCACCCTGTTCAAATTTGCTGATAACACCAAGATGCGGGGGGAAGTGGGCACGCTAGAAGGGCGGAATAGGCTGCAATTGGACCTGGACAGGTGACAGGGGTGGGCGGATGAGAACAGGACAGGTTTCAACACTGACAAGTGCAAGGTGCTGCACCTGGGGAGGAAGACCCAGCAGCAGACCTCCAGGCTGGGAGCTCCTTTCTCGTCAGCGCAGAGGCAAAAAAGGATCTTGGAGTCATTATTGATGCCAAAATGAACATGGGCCGGCAGTGCGGGGACACGGTCAGGAAGGCCAACCGCACCTTGTTGTGCATCCACAGATGCATCTCCAGCAGGTCCAAGGAGGTGATGTTCCCCCTCTATGCAACATTAGTCAGGCCGCAGTTGGAGTACTGCGTCCAGTTCTGGGCGCCGCACTTCAGGAGGGATGTGGACAGCATGGAGAGGGTCGCAGGGCCACACGCATGACCAGGGGTCAGGAGGGCAGGCCCTACGAAGAGAGGCAACGGGACCTGAACCCGTTCAGCCTCCACAAGAGAAGGCTGAGGGTGGATCTAGCCGCCTGTTACAAACTAGTCAGAGGGGACCAGCAGGTATTGGGGGAGTCCCTGTTCCCCCGAGCACTACCGGGAGTGACTAGAAATAACGGTCACAAGCTGGCGGGGGGGAGATTTAGACTAGACATCAGAAGGCGCTACTTCACTGTCAGGGCGGCTAGAATCTGGAACCAACTTCCAAGCGAAGTGGAGCTGGCTCCTACCCTGGGGGTCTTTAAGAGGAGGTTAGATAAACACCTTGCCGGGGTCATTTGACCCCAGTACTTTTGCCTGCCATGGCAGGGGGTCGGACTTGATGATCTGCTCAGGCCCCTTCTGACCCAACCTACTATGAAACAATGCCGCTTTCCTGCAAGAATTTGTCCAAACCCATTCTGGATCTGGTTAAACTATCAGCCTCTGCAACCTCCTGTGGCACTAAGTTCCACCCTTGATTAACTAATCCTTGACCAGTGAATAATGAAATATCCTCAGGTTTTTTTTCCCTGAAGATTGGGAACCCAGTTTTGGTTCTCCAAGAATGAGAAAGTACCC